TCACAAGAGGTGAGTTAGGAGATTCAAATGGGTCTATCTCCATAATTGTTTCAAATAGTCTACACCATGGATTTTCAGTGCTCTCCATGCTACCTGGAGACTCTGTGTTGGAGAGCCTGCTCCAAATACCAACAAGCCCATTAAAGAAATTCATCCTTTCAATTCTGTTTCTCTAGAACCACTCCTGGTACCACAATCTGTATTAGGGTTCTTCGAAGTGTAGGACCCCCAGACTGGGGTACCCTACGTTCTCTGGAGGTCACACCCCAATAACTCAGTCCTCAAACCGGAAGATGCAATTGCAAGAGGGTTTTATTACATCTATAGACGGGCCTCCACCTTCATCAAAAAGGGGAGGCCCAGATTCAGTTTAGAAGCTAGGTCATATAGACAGAAACCACAAACCACAAGCAGTAGGAGGGGCTGGTATTCAGGTCGGAGGAGCTGGCATCTAGGTCACCATTACATGATTACAGCAAAAATGGGAGGGGGATTTTTCATGTATTTTTCCAGCTCAAGGAAGCATGAAAAGGTCGTCTTTTCTTTTCTATAGTTAGAATTATTTTTCTTTTATTTCCTTGTACAGTTTCCCAGAATATAGCCTGGGAAACTTAGTTTCAGTTTACTTTAATCTGGGGGTCTTTGATTTAAAATTCTATCAGAAGAAACAGAACCAGAAGAATGAATATATATGTATAGGGATTTATCAGCTTAGCTCACAGGATAGAGTCCAAGTAGTCCAACAATGGCTGCACCACAGTGGAGAGGCTGAGAATCTGTAGTCGCTCAGTCCACAAGCCTGGATATCTCAGTAGTCCCAATGTGGCACTGAAGGTCTGACAAAGTCCAAAAGATCAGCTAATCTTCAGCCTACAGCAGCAAGACAAACTCACCAGCGAGAGAGAAAGCAAGCAGCAAGAAGCCTGGCATTCTCCTCTGCCTTGGTCTTTTATATGGGTTGCATATAAAAGGTAGAAGGTAACACCCACATTTAGGGTGTGTCTTCCAGCTTCAGATGATCCAATCAAGAAGATCTCTTGCATTTCAGTTAATCACAGATCCAGTCAAGTTGACACCCAGGATTAGCCATCACACTTAAAGATTTTATTACCATAAAAATGAGCTAAATGAATGTGAAAACACTTGACTATACAAATCATTGACTATGCAAAATAGTTATGTTTTTTCTCTACTTGTGCATGTTTAAGATAAAGAAAAAGTTGAAATAGAATAGTACCCTCTCTAATAATTAATCCTGCTTCTCTAAATCATAGGATACATGAGAACAAAAAAAACAAAAAAACCTTCATGGTCACGTTAAGAGAAGGAATCAAAATGCCCAGCTTCCCTTGTGTATAAAAAAATAGCTTTCAGGAAAATACATGGAGCTACTTAATATTATTTAAAATTTGATTATATGATCTTCTATTCCCAGGGTGCTACAGGATTTCCTGGTTCTGCTGGCAGAGTTGGACCTCCTGGCCCTGCTGTAAGTCAGATTAGATTCAGATCATTGGAAGTAGAATAAACACACACACACACACACACACACACACACACACGTACACACATGCATGCACATATGTACATTTTAATTATGATTTTTATTTTATCACTCACTGACTTTTATTCCTGTTTGGCCCTCTTATGCAGTAAGTCACTGTGGTATTTCATCAAAACATTCATATTTAACAATTCCCTAACTTGGAGGAGCTTATTTGCGAGTCCTTTCTAACCCTAAATTTGACTGCTATTCTGTTTAGGGACTAAACAATTTTATTTTGTGGCAATAATGAATCCCAGGAAGCATGACTAAAATTTCTTTTAGCAAATTCTCTTGTAAGATCAGGTCAAATGAAATCAAACATTATATATCCATAGTTGGAGCAGACCCTTAAAGATATTTGAAAATTCAAATTAATTTTACAACTCTTTTAATAATGAATGATTCAAAGAGAAGTGACTGAAAATGATATTTAGATTTCCTTTTGGGGTATTAATATATAGCTATGTTTAATATTCTTTTATTTAAGTCTCCCCAAATGACTATTAACAGGAGAAATGATCATGTAGGACAGTAATCGTTGCATCAGTCCTTCATACTTTGCTTCCACTTCGCCCTCTTCAGTGTGTCTTTGTGTGATACCAGGGAGCTCCAGGACCTGCAGGCCCCATAGGGGAGCCTGGGAAGGAAGGACCTCCAGGTCTTCGTGGGGACCCTGGCTCTCATGGGCGAGTCGGTGATAGAGGACCAACTGGCCCACCTGGCGGCCCAGGAGACAAAGGGGACCCAGGAGAAGATGGGCAACCTGTAAGTTTGACATCTGTTTCCCTCTCACTTCAGCTGAGGTATTTATAAGAATAAACACGTAATAATCACTGCTACAAAAGCTATTCAAATCCTTTTGAGTATATTAGTCACTATAGATTTTTAATTTAAAGTTCTTTGTTATAAAAATACATGTATAAAAATTAAAAATGGTAATAAATGGCAATAGACATGGTTTCCAAAAATTAAATATCTTTGTTGAATGCAGATTATTTGAGGAAAATGAAACATAGTATCATACTTAATTCTAAATTCATCTAAATGTTTTTAGAAAGATAAAATTTTTTCTAGAATTTTTCATCCTTTAAAAAGGAGACAGAATTCTTTGAATAACTATTATTTTTATTAGTCATCAAGTTCTTTTCCAACTGATAAGTAGTGTTAAGGCTCTGTGTGAATTACAAATTATTACTGTTGAAATTATTTATGATTTGATGAAACAAGAATTTTTTCATATCATGAACAAATCTGTAAAGCTGTCATCAAATATTACAAATACGTTGGACATGGATTTACCTGTTAGAGATAGTAATTATAGTCTACTATCACCATTAGGGCCCAGATGGTCCCCCTGGTCCAGCTGGAACTACTGGGCAAAGAGGGATTGTCGGCATGCCTGGACAACGTGGGGAACGAGGCATGCCAGGTCTTCCAGGCCCAGCGGTGAGTAGCTGTCAGTATTCATCTGATGTATACTATGTAACTTTTTCAGAGAAAATTGATTGTTTGCTTTAAAAATTGCTTTAAACACCCTTGAGCAACATGAATTCTGAGGTTTTCAAAACCTTTTGATCTTAAATGTTTAATTCTTAACCACTTTGACAAGTGTATGTGTTTAACCCTGGGGCTAGAGAAGTAGATAAATAAGCATTTGGATTTGTGTCAACTCAAATACTTCTGCAAAGATTAAAAATGATGCATAGTGCTAAAGAAGGCAGATTCTCTCCCGGTAAGTTGGTAATGTCATTTATAATAAACATCCTTAACAAAACAGCCATACATCATAGTAAACCATCAAAGAGAAGAGATAGTTGAGCCAACATAACATTAGAGGTGAGTAAGGGGTGGACCATGGATAAGGATTCTCAAGGTAAGCCCCTATTCCCTAAGGGTGGATTTCATATTCTTCGGAGTATGGATGAAAGTTTGATTCAATATGAGCTTAAAATGACTAGACAGTGTTTATAATGCCTGAGGGAAATGATGTTATATGGAATGCAGACAGATGGATGAACTCCTGGTTTTAGAACTCAGAGTTATTTGATTAGAAAAATGAAGGAATTATGGTTATCTTAGTGGTATCAGAATTGAGCCAAGAATTGGAAAGCAACGTTCCCCAATGATGAGACTAAAGGATGGAACACGTAAAGTAAACAGAAAAATAGGGAGTGATAAAGGATGTGTGTCTCTTACCAGTGATACAATTTTCAGAAGGAGAGCCACAACCAACTACATATGATTCAAACACAAAATACATACCTGAGCTGGTGCTGAAGGATATTTTTGGCCCTTCTTTTCTCCACAATTTTTTTGTTAGTTCGTTATGAATTTCATACAACATATTTTTATTATTCATCCCCCAACTCCTCCCAGGTTCATCCCCTCTTCTAGATCTACCTAATTTTGTGTCCTACATTTTTTTTAACCCATAGAGTTCAATTTATGCTGTTTATATACTTTTGAGTATGTGGCCATCCACTAGAGTATGTTCCACCTACCAGAGTGACATTCTTAATGAAAATAGACTCTCCCTCTTCTAGTAGCTATAAATTGTTAATATCTCATCAGTTAGGGATGGAACATTGTGCTCAACTCCCTTCTTCATGTTGAGATTTTGTCCTGCTTGAGCTTGAGCAGGTCTTGTAGATGTTGCCACAAAAACTATGAGTTCACATGTGCCTGTTGTGTCCAGAAAACAGTTTCCTTGTATTCAGCCCTCACCTCTGACTCTTACAGTCTCTTTCTGTTTCTTTTTCCACAATTATCTCTGAGTCTTAGGAGGAGAGATTATGGTATAAGTATGCCCATTTAGGGATGAGCATTCTATAGTTTCTTATGCTATGCACTTGAAGCAGTTGTTGGTCTCCTGCCAAAATAAGCTTCTGTGATGAGAGTTGAAAGATATACTAATCTGTGGGTATAATGATGTCATTAGTTGATTTAATACTATATCCATTTAGCAGAGTAATATTAATAAGTTTTCCCCTAGGGCTACAACCTGTCTAACTACTAATGGTGCCAGGTATGGGTTTCATCTTATGGAGTAGGCCTTAAAGCCAGCCCTAAGGTGGTTGGTTACACTCATGACATTCATGCCATTATTACACCAATGGGCATGTTTTACCTAGCCACTCATTATTGTGCCTTGCAGGGTTCACAACTGAGTAAGATTGCTTTTGGTCCTCTTAGTTTGTCAGGAGTATTGTGATAAGAGGTGGGCATGTCACTAAGTAGCATTGGTGTTGAAGGACAATGAACAGTTATTGCTGTAGGAGGAGATCTTGAAACACTACTGAATAAATGTAAACTCATGGGAACTGACATTCTTAAATGTCTTCCACAGCAATTGATATACTTATACTTCAATTTTAGGGCACACCTGGAAAAGTAGGACCAACTGGTGCCACAGGAGATAAAGGTCCACCTGGACCCGTGGGACCCCCAGGCTCCAATGGTCCTGTAGGGGAACCTGGACCAGAGGTAAGTGCTGCAGTGAAAATAGCTTTATCAACTAAGTATGAAGAGGAGAATTCCTTTACTTAAACTGTGACTTACAATTTTAGAAATAGATTGCACATATAACCTTAAAAAGGAATTTTTGTAGTGTTATTTGATCCAATTCCTTAGAAAGTTGGTTAAATGATGGCACAGAGACACAAAAGCAGTGCCCTTGTACTGACCGTCCTAAAAGCTGGAGTGAGCATTCTAGCTGATTAGCTTTTGGAAAAGTGTTTTGAAGGTGAAAGGATGCATCCATTCATCCTTTCCCTTGTCCTTATTTCATTCTATAATGGGATTTTTATCAAAACTGCCTAGTTTTATGGTTGTACAATTTAATGTCACTATTATAGCTCATGAAGAACAGAAAGTAGAGGACATTTTACTTATTACTATAAAGTAACATTATGGGTGTCAGGTTCTTTTAGGCTCTTTTGAGAGGAAATCACTTTTGGACAGGCAATTTGGGAAGCTAAAGATTGGAATATCCCTTGGCTAGTAGCTTAATGAGTAAATTACCACAGAGTCACATTTTTCTAAAATCATTGATCAATGATTTCAAAGCTATTTTTAATTAAATTATAAAACCATAGTTCTGAAAAATCAAAATACAATAGAGAAAGAAGAATATACATTTAAAATATAATCTAATATAATTTAAATACAGTTATCTGATCTTAAAACCTTGAAAGTTTTGTTTGGCTAAGCAAAGTATAGTCAATTCCTTAATTGGTAATTCAGACAAATTTACTATTGCACTGTCATTGTTATCTATTCCAATACATTTTGGAAAATGTTTGTAAAAATGAGAACTGGAACAATTATAGCAAACAAGAATGTTAATCTTCAAGCAATTAAAAATAAAAAGAAATGGCAGCAGTCTCTTTTGCTGATATGTCTTTAAGTGTTGTTGTATAGTTTAAAGAAGTATAAAACATGCTGTCACTTTCCAGACTATGAGAATGAGAGTTTAAAAACTTCTCAGATAATTAGTAGTGAAATGGAGATCTTTTTTAAATTTTAAAACCTCATTTAATTTTATGTCTTATAGGGTTTATACTGAGTAAAATATTGTGTAAATGTATTAATTCAACTGTAAACCTAAAAATTTACAGCCAATTTTGAAGGAGATGCATCTTAGCTCTGGAAATTGTTATTGAATATTTCAATGCTGTTGTAATGAAATGCTTCTTCTGATTGTGTGATTATTAAATAAATAATTAAAAAAACTTCTTAGATAAGCAGTTTCTCAAATATTACTCTTTGTTCTTTTAGGGTCCAGCTGGTAATGATGGTACTCCAGGACGGGATGGCGCTGTTGGCGAACGTGTAAGTGCAATGCAACTGATTAAAATATCTAGACCCACCTAAATCTGAAATCCTTTTAATTTTAGTGTTATGCTTTAATATAGCATAGATTTTCTATAGCATGGATTTTTCATATATTAAATATTTTAGTAATATAACTTTTGATAATCTAATAAAAGGATATTTGGTGCATGGCAAAATATGATGACATTTTTTAAGAGCAAGGAAACAAATTGCTTTCATATTTGGTAAAACCAAGAAGCTTTCAATTGCAGATATATATGGAGCACTTTAAATTTCCAGATCACTCAGAGGAGTATAAGAACGGACATGAAGTTGAATGCTATCTAAATTACTTCCTAAAATAAGTAGCCTGCAGGGATATACACCATACAGCTTGCTAATTCCTTATAAATCTCATGATATATGTTTAGTAAATTCTGTGCTGACTGAAAAATTTCTGAAGTATGTCCACAGCTGAGTCCATTTTGGCAGTTGCACACTTGTTAGAAAACAGATCAGCCCATCAAAGGCAAATTAATCCTCACCCCACAGTTCATGATGAAGCCTTCACTTTTCAACTTCAGGACTCTTCAGTAGAAAAAGAACTTGAAACCAGACTGATCTGGTTTGCAATCCTTAGGTGGCCAGCAATGTGATGCTGAGCAAATTTTCTGAATCTCGGTTCTCAGGCACTTTAAATAAATATGATTTCATCCCATGCTGTGGAGGATTTATGTACTAATGACATGCTTAAAAACTGAGTATAGGGTAAATACTCAAGAAGACTGTTTTGCTGTATAAAAAGAGGAAAAAAGAGTTTGGGGGAATCTTGGGCTATGACTCCCCTTTTTTATTATAACCTTATAAAATTTCTTAACATCTGGAGATTTTTCCTTTGTTGATACACATGTGCAATGCAGAAAGCATTCTAAGATTTTGAAACTCCCTGAAATATCTTTGGAGAGCTATACACTCCTATGTGTACTTTAAATTGCTGTCCTTTTTTAAAATTGCAAATTTAAATACGTGTAGACAATTTATACAAATTCTGAATGTATATTTGTGCTTCAAATGGATTATTTTTAAAACCTTGGAGTTTGTTCATGAGTTTGTTAGGTTATAGTATGTGTTCTTTAACTTAGATGCCGAAGTTCATTCTATTTGCCAAACTAGTTAGTCAAATGAGTTAATTTATGTCAGAAAATAAAGTTTTCTTCCATTTTATTATTCATATAGTTGTTTCTACATGTGTTTATGTCAGAGTGATCTCAAACTTGGTCTTGTAATGAGACAATATTTGGAGCCTTTTCATATGGGATCATACAGATGAAAGAGCGAACACCTTCCAAATTCTTTCCAGTGAGATGTGCATTCTGAAAACACTCTTGTCTCTAGAAGCATTTACTCTTTGGAGCATTGCAGATGGCAAGGTGTTTTCTTTTCTTCATAAAATGGGAAAAAAAGATGGATTTTAAAAGAGAAATAAGGGAGGAATGTGCAAAAATAGTTTCCTGAAAGAGCAATTGTAGAGTCGAAAATGTGGAAGGCGGGTTTCCTTAACATTTTCTTTGTTTTCAAACGCTGAAATGACTTTGTGTATTACAAGTGTATGGATACTCCTTTGATGGCAGCTAATCTAGAGAACATGATAAACTCGCCTGTATGCTAATAATCTTGACTGAGGAAAGAGTAGGTTGGATTTGAAAGGGGGATGAGATCTGAAAATGAGGAGTAATAATCCTATTTTCTTCAATTTGATTTACTGAGTAGTGAAGAAAAGTGAAAATATTTAAGTAAAATAAAAACGGTTTTAAAAGGTATACTTTCATATACTTTTCATATAAAATGCATAGAATATCACTGTGATAAAACAAATATCAACTAATAATACTGTTTCTATTCCTGTCAGGGTGACCGTGGAGACCCTGGGCCTGCAGGTCTCCCAGGCTCTCAGGGTGCCCCTGGGACTCCTGGACCTGTTGGTGCACCAGGAGATGCAGGACAAAGAGGAGATCCGGTAGGAGAGTCAGTTTCACACTGCCAGTTATGCACACCAATATGCTATGCTATGTTATGTGAATGCACACATATGATCACACATATGCTATTAGCTGAAGACTCTAAACAAAGAATTATGAATTCAGAATATACTCAGCCAATATTGAATTATGAATTCAGAATATGCTCAGCTTAGAAAATGTTTGATTATTGAAGATGGATTTAAGACTGATGCATTGACTTTATCTAAACAGGCTGTGGTTCATGGAAAATGTAATAAATACATCAGAAAAATATTAAGCAAGTAATATTTATTATTATTATTATCATTTGATAATCACTAAGGTTATTTTCACTCAGTGAAGCTAATAAACAAATTTCACTTTAATGTGTTGTTAGAGTTAGTGCTTTTTTCCCTTATGTGTAGACATTTGCCAGATCCAGATATCTATGTATTTTGGCTGTAAGGGAGTACATTATGTTCATTCTTATGTTATTTTTATGTTGATATTTTATAAACATTTATGCTCATTTACATTTACATTTAAGTTTATGTTTATACTTACTCTTATAGTTTAAGATACCAAACTTTATGAAATTATTTTCAGGGTTCTCGGGGTCCTGTAGGTCCACCTGGTCGAGCTGGGAAACGTGGTTTACCAGTAAGTTTTCTTTTTTTCTGAACAAATGCATGTTTTCTTAAGTAAAATATTTACCCAAGTATATTTTAAGATTGTATATTTTAAGATTAGGAAGAATAATTTAAGATTGATAAATAGGGGTGATAGGGAAAGTCTGATAGATAATTGCTAAGTTATAGTCAGAGAGAAGCTAGAAATTCTGTTGTGCTATTGATTGACTGGTAGCATGGATAGCAGTGCTGTATATTTCAGAAAGTCAGGAGAAAGAATTTGAAAGTTTCTACCCCAGAGAAATAATAGTGATAACAGTGCATATTTCCGAGCTGCTTTAGTAATTGCATGGGAAATAGAGTTTTAAAATTATATAAGGAAAAGCAGGGGTCCATGAGAGCTACAGAGGCTTTCTTACTCTAGGAGAGCAGTAGATGTGGGCAGGGTGGGGGTGGAATGGGGGTGGGGGTGAGGGTGAAGGTGAGGCAGAAGTAGGGCCTGGAAAAACAATGGTCACCAAAATCATCACATGCCAGGGGCTTTTACGTCCTTTGTTTCACAAACTGTAAAAATAAATTTCGCAGACAACAGAGAGGGTGAGTTTGTGGAGTGTTTATTTAGGCTCATAGCTGGAGTGCTTAAGAGACAGGAGGCCAGTAGGCCTTCTCTACAGTAAGATAAGGTCTCAAGAAAAAGGTTGCGATAGGGCTGCTAGTTTAGGGGCTTTTCATAGGACTTAAGGCAAAAACTGAATCATGGCGTGGGGTGGTGAACTGGTTATTTCAGGTAGCCTAGCCAGGAGGTGACCCATGTGCCTCTCCATCCCAGGCATATGGGCGGGAATTTTGGTCAAACTCTCATATCTACCTTCCAGGCAGATTTTTAAAAATGTTTATCTGTTGTGGGCAGTCTAGTGGATCTTACTTCTTATACTCAGTCATGAATACCTAGGTTTTTTTTTTTTTAATATATAAAAAGGTCCTTATGCTAGTTGATGATTATGACATTTAAATTAAAAACAAATTAGAAATCAAAATTAACATTAATCTAAAAGCCAGTGGGTTTGATGATTCTGTCCACTCACTGAAGTCAGATTAGTAGGATTCCAGTTTTCTTTCAGGGAAACTAAAAAGTCAGTATATGCTGGTCCTATTGTAGCTAGTATATCTCACTGTCAGTTTACACAGAACCATTGAACCCCAGAGCTCTTTTTATTTTTTTAATTTTCCAGCACCCAAAACAAATAACAAACTCTACATGAGTCTGCTGGATAATTTTAGGACTTTTCTAGGTGCAGCTTCTACCCCAAAATAAAATTCCTTCTTATGATTTTTTTCTGTAGTTTCTTGGGATCAGGATTTTTGGATTTGATATCAATATTGCAGACATGATAGGATAACACAGTAGTTTTTCTTTTCTTTTTTTGTGTGTAGTATACAGTAATGATACTATTTCAGCTTCATTTGCCTGTATTTTTATTTTTTACTACAGCCCCAGCTGAAATATTCCTTTAGTTTATTTGCATGTACAAATTTAGCATTCTTAGTATGAAAAGTAAAACAAGTACTTTTAGTTTTTATTTTCAAAGAATCTCTTTATTGTGTTCATAGTTTACTTAACAATATCAGCTAAATATATGAAATGTAATTATTTGATAACCTTTCAAATAGGCTAACTCAAACTTTAAAATATCTCATTTTAGTATTAATATTTTATAACTGAATCCTTAAGAAAGCTATTATGTATGATTTCACTGGATACATATCATACCTTGAGAAAAATAGAAAAAAGCCTACATTTGATACTACTGAGATAAGTAAATATGTTCAACACTGTAAAATTTGATATTCAAAGTTATAGGAAATATGACAAAAAAAGTAAAATTTTAACCATTCCAATTCTTTCTTAAGAAGTAATATTCATTACTGACTGATTCTAGGGTCCCCAAGGACCTCGAGGTGACAAAGGTGACAATGGAGACAGAGGTGACCGAGGTCAGAAGGGCCACAGAGGATTCACTGGTCTTCAGGGTCTTCCTGGCCCTCCTGTAAGTGTGTTCTCTCCTGAATGTGAGAATGTACTGGTATATTGACTTATCTGTCCACAAAAGAGATGTTTTTAATATATCCTTTTAATCTCAAAATTATCCTGATAAATAGTTATGTATCTACCCAATCTAGTTACCTATGTATAAGCTCTAAGTTTGTGGGGAAGAAATAAAACAAAAAGCTATATGCTTTTTTACTTTTTACAGTTGTCTTTAGTATTGGTCAAACACTGCAAAGATTGATGTCCTAGATGTTTATATTGCCAAAGTTAATGACATATTTTAAGAAAGCACAGTGCATGATCTAAATAGTTTGCCAAAACTTTAAATAGTTTTTCTGTATAGGGTCCCAATGGTGAACAAGGAAGCGCTGGAATCCCTGGTCCATTTGGTCCAAGAGTAAGTAACAAAAGTTGTTACGGTTGTAAATAATAATGCCTTTGGTGACATAATATAATTTCTTGAATTGAATATAATATTCATAGTATTAAATCTTAATTAGTTCATGTTCTCTGAAGTTGGCAGCAAATATATGAGACAAACCACTTTGCGACTAATTTAAGGTAGAAATATCTGGAAATATGGCATATTGCACATTATCCTGTGGGCCCATGGTAAGATCTGTTACCTAGGACTGTATTTATTCTTCTATTCAGTTTTCTTTTAAGTTAAATAAATTATTAAGAATTTCATACATGCGTATAAGGTGTTTTGATCAAATCCACACCCATTCCTTCCCCTCCAGCTCCTACCATATCTCACCATCACTTTTTCCTGACAACTTTGTGTGCTCTTTCTTTCTTCTTTTTATGGGGCTTTTTGCATTCTCCTCTCTGAAGAGGTAACCCTAAAATCTTTCAGGGATTAGATAAGAGCTCCCAAATACTTTTGACATTTTTGGCCTTTGGAACAGAGTATGTTGCTAAGAGGCCCAAGGACATTTTGACTTTTAGCCAAGAAACTGGCTACTTTTCTTTGGGGTCTTTTTACCCTAATTGCCTAGCCAATTCCCACCTCCTATTCTATTCAGTTTTTTATTTGGGTTAAATTACTATTAAACACACATTCTTTGAGATGACTATACATCCTCACAAAGTTTGGCAGATTTTAAAGCTGGATATATTTTGTTCTTTAATTGTGATAAATTCTCTGAAATAGTTCATACACAGATAATTTGGAAACAAACCATAAAACAAAACAAATACTTTAGCCTTTTAGACAGTCTACGTTCACATTAATGCTGCCTTTCCTAAGTCTTTAGTGTCATAACACAACTGACTCACAGTCATATTTAGGAAAATAGGAAAACTTATTAGAAAAACATTCTGCTATAGGTACTCCATACATAAAACAGAGAATAGTCATAAGGAAAATGTTACGATGTGATGAGATCCTGTGTAATAAGTACCCCAAGTTAAATTACAACAGACATTCAAACTTATGTCATGTCCTTATTCTAATTAATTGAATTTTCATCCAAGTTTATTTTCTATTTGATAAAACAATTATTACCAATAAAATTTGATGACTAGCCTGTTACTGTTTTTAACTTATCTTGGTCTTTTACCCAGCATGGGTGATAGATAATTCCTGACTGATAAAAATGTAAATATAGCAAAGTGTTAAAAGATCATTTCCTATGCAGTAAGAAGGAATCTGAGATATTGTTGTGACAGCTCCATTTCTGTAATAGTTCTTTGATTAGAGAGGTGTTGCAAACTTTTCTTCATAGAATCTAAAATGCACTCTTTGTATTCTGACAGGGTCCTCCAGGACCAGTTGGTCCTTCAGGCAAAGAAGGAAACCCTGGGCCACTTGGTCCAATTGGACCCCCTGGTGTGCGTGGCAGTGTAGGAGAAGCAGGACCAGAGGTAAGGTCACAAGAGCTTGCATGAAAGACGCTTATGTCAGGATGGAGTCTGTCCAATAACGTTTTTTTAGTCTAATGGACAAGATTCTCAATTTTTTTTTTTTGGTCTTTTTAAGACAGTGTCTCCCTATAGTTCCAGCTGGCCTGGAACTCACTATGTAGACCAGGCTGGCCTTGAACTCACAGAGATCTGCCTGCCTCTGCCTCCCCAGTACTGGGATTAAAGGTGTGTGCCACCATGTCCAGCCTGCAAACATCACATTAATTTAAATGACAGTTTTTAGTTTATTTTTCTGTTGCTATGATAAAATTCTCTCACAAAAGCAACTTAAGAAAGGGTTCTTTTTAGCTCACAGATTTGAGTTCACAGTTCATAATCCAATCTACCATGGCTGAGAACTCAAAGCAGCAGGAGCTTGAAGCAGCTAGTCACTTTGCATCCACAATCAGGAACCAGAGAGGGATGCATGCAAGCTAATGCTCAACTCACTTTCTCCATCTTGTATAGTTGATGATCCCCTGCCAGGCAATGGTCCCACCCACAATTAAAATGGCGTTCCCACATCTGTTAATGTAATCATGATACTCCCTTGCAGGAATGCTCAGAGGCCCATCTCCCAGGTGATTCTAGATACTGTCAAGTTGACAATTTAACACTAACTTCCCCGATTAGTATTATAAATAGCTTGAGATGTAGTAAGCACTTCATGAAAAGTTCATGAAACTGATAAAAATGAAGAATAAGAGAGATAAAATTTTCTCCCATAAAAGTGACATTGAGGATTTCAACTTAAAGTTTTCAAAAAAAAATTCTTATGGTATTGAGTAGAAGTTGATATAAAGAAATAAACCTTATTAGTCTAACTTCTCAGACCGTTGAAATGTATCATAGATATTTTACATGCATATGTTCTCTCTCTCTCTCTTTCTCTCTCTCTCTCTCTCTCTCTCTCTCTCTCTCTCTCTCTGTGTGTGTGTGTGTGTGTGTGTGTGTATTTGTGTGTTTATGTGTACTCATGCTTTTGTCTGGTGCTTCTTTGATCTAATTTATCTGATCCCACATATTCAGTCTTTGATCCTCAATTGCAGTAGCATTAATTTAAATAGATTTATTCTTCCTATGGCCAAGACAATTTCCTACTTCTTTTTTTTTTTTTTGTGAATACGAAACAACTACAGAATTAGAATATCTTTGACTTATGTGATACTTTTTTGTGATTTAGTGGCCTTGGTGAGATAACCTTTTCCTTTAAGTTTGCATACAGGAATACATAGATTAATGATGATCTGACAAGTAGCTTATCTATCAGCTATATCTATCATCTATCTATCTATCTATCTATCTATCTATCTATCATCTATCAATCATCTATCTATCTATTATCTATCTATCTATCTATCTAATCTATCTATCAATCTATCAATCATCTATCCATCTCTATCATCTATCTGCCTTTTGAGAATCAGTAAACATTGGCCTAGACCTTAAAACAACTTACCTTGAGCCACTTAGCAAGTGGCAGAGCCAGTGTTTAGAACATCACCCTTCTGAATTCCAGGGATGTGCCCTCTGCTTGAGATGTAGACTTCATATCTCTTCAGGTTGTTGCCTGCTCTTTCAAGTTTCTGAATTCTCCCTCAGAAAATACATAAAGGAATGAATTGAGGGCACTTGGGTTATAGCCTTTGCCACATTTTGTGCTTCTCTGAGATTTTACACTTGCAGTTCTCATTTGAGAACACAAAGAGCAGGAGACTCTTTAAGTCAATAAAAGACCAATGGGAACTGAAGTTTTGTTCAGTACAGTGAATTTTTTATGTACACTGGTAATTATGGTAATTCATGTGCATACAAAAGACTTCCTGTTTTTTTCCCTCTTGATTGGGAAGAGCAGGGTGATCCTCTTGCTTACTGTCTCTATTTCCTCGCTATTTCCATGTAGACTTTAGAACCGGTTCCCATCCCACCCTTGAAGCCCTTGTTTACTTTCTGCCCCAAACTACTTTTTAAAACATTCCAGTTGTAGCTTATGTGTTCTTTTGAAATGAATGTGCATTGTGCATGTTCTTCACATAAAATACACTTTCTTCAAAGTAGACATCAAAGTCAATATTTTTGGCTTTAATGTTTTTTTTTTTTCTCTCAGAGGCTGACTGGAAGAGGTATGCTGCTGAGAAGCCGCTCAATATCACTCCATATCTGTTCGGTGCTATTGCTTGACAGGCTATCTCCACACGTGAAAGGGCACAGCACTGACAAATTCGAGTATCACATTGCAGCTGCCTATGTGCAGCACAGCAACAATTTAGTAAAATGAAAACAAACACGTCTTTCCAATTTCTCTTTAATTAGGGTCCTCCTGGTGAGCCTGGCCCACCTGGCCCTCCAGGTCCCCCTGGCCATCTTACTGCTGCGCTTGGTGATATCATGGGCCACTATGATGAAAACATGCCAGATCCACTTCCAGAGTTTACTGAAGATCAGGCGGCTCCTGATGATGCCAACAAAACTGACCCTGGGGTCCATGCTACCCTGAAGTCACTCAGTAGTCAGATTGAAACCATGCGCAGCCCTGATGGCTCCAAGAAGCACCCAGCCCGGACTTGTGATGACTTAAAGCTTTGCCATTCCACAAAGCAGAGTGGTGAGTGGAGACGGGCCCTCTTGAGCAGAGCACATTGCTGTGGATTGAGTTATTTTCAACTGCATTCCAAAATATTTTATTGACTTTATCCTTAACAAGAACAGAAATATAAAATGTTGAACATGACACAGAGCTTATAGTTTAATGGTGGAGACAATTAATGAAAACTATGGATGAAATGTAACTGTAACAGAGTACATATGCTTCTAATAATATAATTTTGAGAAGGTGATTCAAACAGACACACATACATGTGAGCACATGCAAGCATGTGTATGTAGAGAATATTTGCAGATGAATAATTAAAAATACTTATTTATGTAACATGACCTTTCAGAGTTTTAATTGAGTATCATATATTATTGTATCACTGAGAACCAAGTGAAATACATAGTTCCCAAATTTCTTACATATATTTCTTTAACGTAGTATAATGTTCTATGAATCATTCCTTTGCAATCTTTCCTGGCAGGATCATGTTATAGTGAGCATTTAAGGCATTTTGGAATCAAGTAGTATTTCTAACATAGTTACATGAAGTATGCCTCAGTATTGCCTTCTTCAATCACCTTGATTGATCTAGTGAGACCTGGAGAAAATGAATCCTAAACCATATGAGCTGTGAATGTGCTGTGAAAGGTTCAAAAGTTTCAGCTAATTTTGAAATGACATTGACAAACATAGCTTAAAAATGTTATCTCTGAAGAATATACACTTTAATTCTTAAGTATATAATTTGCATTCACTATTTTCTTTCCATTTAAAATTTTATGTATAATAATATATATAGACATATATGGGCAAATGAATAAATATATTTGATTATTTACCATCAGGGATTCTCTTGGTACATCTTGATTCAAAATATCATATAAAACAGGATTTATTTATTTATTTATTTATTTATTTATTTAGTTAGTTAGTTAGTTAGTTTTTATTTGAGACAGGGCCTTGCTAAGCAGCCAAGAATGGCCTGGAAGGTGCCATTCTCCTGCTATACCCTTGAGAAGATTAATTTTTAAAAAGAGACAATAAGATGACTCATGGCATTCTAATTATACTTAAATTTATTTGCTTTATTCATAGTTTTAATAATGCATTATTATGTTCAATTTATTGTTTTCTTAAACATTATCTTAGTAACTTTAAAATATTTTATTTGTTATATTAGTGTGTGTGTGTGTGTGTGTGTGTGTGTGTGTGTGTGTGTGTAGGTC